TCCATGACACCAGTCTCTTCAGAATCCTCTCCTCCGTATTTTTTTACCCTATTTCCTTTCTCCATAACCTACCCCCAGCCAAAAAAGTACAATTAACACCACCCTGTTTCTCATAACTTAGAAGCCACATTGGAGTGGATTACACCCCCAAAAGTGGACCACTGCTGCATTAGTCAAGACAAGAACAGGTCACATAAAACCAGTAAAAGAGGCTGCCAACAAGGAGTGTGAAATATTTACGAACACTTCATTTCAGAAACTTGCTAAACTGTGAAACTCGCTTGTCAAGGTGGACAGCGCTCATAAACTATGTCTCAACGTGACAGAAGGCAATCCTATACTTCAAAGCAGGATTTCATAATTCGGATCTATATAGTTACAATTCTTAACCTAGGACACATAACGCTTATGTTTCTGCACTTTCAACCTCCAGAATTTGGGGGTAAATATATTAGTAAAATAAAAATACAGTTGTAGTAGTGAGGCTTTTGTGGATGAAGCTGGAGGGACAGGGAATGTGTTGCTGCTCACCACTGGAACCAGAGCATAGAATTAACACGTATGTGGTGTTGGAAAAATGTTTGATAGCACGAGAATGAATGGAGGAATATCATATTAATAATAAGGCTCTGTCCTGCTGTATGACTTATTAGTTGATTTGCCATGACAGTATTTTTAAAAGGAGCCAGAAATTAAAAAGTGGCATTCTCCAAACTGCATTTATCCAGTATGCAGATGGGGAGAAAGGAGGAGGAAAGGGCACTGTTCTAGCGGAAGGTGGTCTGTACATCCATCCTGAGAATCAAGCAAAGCTTGGAGGCCAGCAATCCTTGGGTGGGAATGGGGGCTACCGGCTGCCCTGCATGGTCACATGCCAATCACCAGCATGGCTGAAGGGCACAGACACAGCTAGTGCCCCTTGCCTTGACTTCTGCCTGCCAGCAGTTGCTTTTCTTTGCCTGGGGGCTTCCTTTTGGCTGCCCAACTGACAGTCCCCAAATGCCAGGGAATCATTGGCCTCTGGAGGTAGTCTTTACCCCCAGGCAGATTGGCAGGTTTTGGTAGATACACACCCATTCCCTTGCCCAGGGGTATGGGGGTGGAGGATAACCTTGAACCATGGGTTCTGAGCTATCTCCCACAATACCTCCATGTGCCAGCAAGCGCCACTGTGGTAACTGGTTCAATCATGCCTACTTTATTAGTGCAGCCCTTCCCTGGCTCACTTCCCCACTCTACCACTGGTGTCCTCTTCACCACGGACTAAAATTAACTTGCCCTTGAAGTTGCACCTCAGGGTTTGGTTCTGGGGAGCTCAGAGTCTTTTAAAGGGGGACTCTCCAGTAAAGAGAGGATCCACAGTACGCATCCTTTGTCAGGGCTGCAGGATTACTAAGGACCAGCTAGCTGGCTTTTCCATCCTGAAGTCCAAGTACAGGATCTTAAGTAGCTCCTTAGGGCCCCCAGCTCTGGCCTCACTTCTTGCAAGACCATCAGAATCCCGACTTCAGGCACATTCCATTCTCTCCCATAAAGAGAATAAGCAGAACCACATCTTTTGCTCAAGGACTGTAGGGATCAAATGACTCCCGGAGTACAAGTATAATCCCTATTAGTCACCAAAGCCCCTACAGTTACATTCGTCCAAGCTCTCTAATAAGTAACAACACCCGCCTCTGAGAAGGGGATCTCAGTACAGAGCTGGGGAGAGGCAAAGACAAGAGCGACGACTGCTGGGGTTCAATGAAATTTTGATGAATCACACGTGGGGATGGAAAACCCACAAAACAACCAAAATGGAACAGTTATTTTAAACACTGCTAAACAATGAACAGAAATGAATTGAAAAAACCCCTTCAGGGCCATGTCCAGTCACTCCTGTTCCATGTAATGGGTATTTTGAGCTGCTAAATATCTTAAGGCAGGGGAATCTACAAAAGCTGGGAGCTAATGAAAGCTGCTCTAACAGCCCTGTGTCCAAAGGGCTATTGCATCTGCAAAAGGGAATTCAAATAGTGAGGTGGCTGGACAATAATCTCTGAATGTTGTCCCAGTAGTAACTTGAACTGGTCACCTAAGGAAGTCTTGCTGTCATACAAGTGGAGGAATCAGGCTGCCAAGCTTGGGGTTCTAGCCTCAATAAGCCACCATCAAAGAGGTTTCGTTCCAGATTCATGAGAGTGTGGATTTTTGCTGGGCTACATCTTTTTGGAGAACATCTACTTTGGGGCCCTTCACTCTTGCCAACCTAGTGAGGAGAAGATCTTCTATCTCATTTCTGATGTAATTGGATTTTTTTTTTTTTTGAAGAGAAAAGAACAGCTGAGCTTTTCTGCAGGACAACCTATTCCCTTATTTATAATGCAGGACAGCAGGGCCTTGTAAGTGTATATTCCAGTTCATCTGAGGACACTTGGTTGTTCATTTTAAAATTAGATTCATCCTAATTATATGAAAACAGCCAATGTGTGGTTGGCCACAACACCAGGAAGGCATTACTCAGCACCTACCTTCTGGGATGGCCTTCACACAGCACCGTACTGTTCAACACAAGGTCCCTGCCCTCTTGGAACTTAAAATCTAGCAAAGAAATATCTCAAGGGCAAGTACAAGCTTTGGACACTGGACAGTGAAGAAATATATATATAGAAAGTGACTAAACATGTCATATTCCCTGTAGACAAAGGAGTGAGGAAAACTGTCATTTGAAATGGCATATGTCAGCACATAGGATCAGAAAGAATTTTGACCTTGATTTTTAAATAACCAGGGCAGGATTTCAGGGGCTCTTGAAATTAGGTGCAAAACTATACCTTTTTTGGTGTTGGGGATTGATCAACATGTACTCCATCACTGAGTTCCACCATTAGCCTTGTTATGCCATTCCATATAAGGTACTTGAGCATCTGTGAATTTGGTATCCTTGGTAGTTTTTAGAACCAACTCCCCAATGATATTGGGGGAAAACTATATTTATAATCACTCATGACAATGCATTGCATTTTATCATACTGCTGTTCTCTTTTGTAGGAATTATTCCAAGGCCCAGATGTTCTGAGGCTAAAGGTTTAGGGAAATTTCTTCTCTCAGCCTTGGAGAGTACTGAAATTTGTAAACCATACCCATATAATTTCCATTGCACAGATGTGGTGACTGAAGTTCAAAGCAGTTACAAAATTTGCTGGAGAAAACATAGCTAGGCATTTCAACTCAATCTGCCTTTCCTGCCCCGTCAGATGTCTGCCTCCCCCAGCGGCCCCGGGTGCTATCTACCCACTGTCTCTCTCCAGTGTTCCAGCTCCCATTCAATCCAGGGCTTCCACTAGCTCAACAAAGGAATCAGATTTTCTTCTCCTTGCTCTGTGACAGGACATTAAAAAAGGATGTCACTGGAGCCTACACTATGGCATACCCTGAGCCCCAGAGAATCCAATCATAAGGCAGAAACAAATTTGGCACTGACAGCATTATTTATTCCCTAACTTAAAATATCAAAAATTAGCCAGGGCTGTGGGTCAGTGGTAGAGCACTTACCTAGCACATGTGAGGCTCTGGTTTGATCCTCAGCACCACATAAAAATAAATAAACAAAATAAAGATATTGTGCCCATGTATAACTAAAAAAAATATTTAAAAAAAATTCTTCAAAAAAAAATAAACAAATAAAATAAAGGTGTTGTGTCCATCTACAACTAAATAAAATATTTTTAATATCCAGATCTGTACTTGACAGACATTATAAGGATTAACTTCTTAATACTGCAAATTTTAATTTTCAAAAATATTCTACAGAAATAGACTTGGGAAGAAGAAAGTCTTACCTAGAATAACATAAAGGCATACCACTATTTACTCTTTTACATATCTTCAGCATAATAGTTTGTATTATTATTTCTTAAGAATCCTAAATGAATGGGCCCTTTGTCTCCTCTTCTCCTTCTCCTTTTTCTTTTTTCTTTTTATTTTTTTTTTCAGTGCTAGGGATAAAACCCAGGGCCTCACACATGCCAGGCACGTGCTGTACCACTAAGCTATACCCCCAGTCATCCTTACTTCTTAGAATAAGGCATGTTAATTAAAATTAAATTAGAAGATTTTCAGAAAGATAAAGCATGCATAGGTAGAAGAAAAGGGCTTCTTTTTCTTTTCACTAACATCACATTTATCATTTGTGCCCCTCTTGATTTCCTTTATATGAGGTATTTCTACAGATCTGGCTGAATATTTGATAGAATACATTTATAATTTGGGAAGAAAACAAGCCAACATCTTTTTGACTAAAAAAGAGGTGCCCCCTCAGAACAAGCAATTATAGGATAAATATTAGAATAAATACTAGGAAAATCAGGATTTTTAAGCTAAGCTATTATGTTATGAGTCATTAGAACAGACTAAAGTTCTAAAAATTATTTCAGGAAAATGACTTCAACACCTCTGACAACATATTAAGAGTCAGATCTGGCCTCTGCTCCCTGACATGTCTATTAACTAATCTGATGATTATTTTTAAAAGGAACTAAAATTTAAAATATCACTAATATTTTTTATTGATTACATGTCAGTAATATCTGAATATATTGGGTAAAATAAAATAAAAAATTGAAATTAAAATCACTGGATGCTTCTTACCTGTTTGCAAATTGTGATTATCAACAAAAATCTTAACCACATGTGTGGCTATCATTATATTGGACAGTGCTGAGTTATCAGGGTTTAATAAGCTATGACCCTTCACCTGTTTTTGTAAATAAAGTTTTATTGGTACACAGCCATGCTCATTTGTGTACTTATTGCGCACCCGTACGTACCCACTTCAATGGTAGTCTTGAATAATTTGGACAGCGACTATATGTCTTGAAAAGTTGAAAATATTAACTGTATGGTCTGTTACAGAAAATGTATGCCAACTCCTAGGCCAAAAGATAAACTGAGGTTACCTAATTTACTTATGAGTACCCTTTTATAACTAAGGAAATTAAAGCTCAGATAGGCCAAGAAACTTGTTTAAAATATTTTTTATTCTTAATTAGGTGGTTTTTCCATAAAGCCATCCTCTCATGCATTCATTCATATTCTTCATCCATCTCTAATCTTGATCATTAAAGAAATAAAATCCTCATCAGCTAGAAAATCAACACTTAATATAATATAATGATTCCCATCACAACAATTATTTCAATAAGGTCTCATAGAACTTTGCTTTTGGTAGACATGGGAACTGCAGGAATGTATGTACAATGGCAGAGAAACCTTTAAAGTCATATAGAACTCTGAACAGGCTGTTAGAGGGTCTTTAAGCTTTACTTGAGAACATTTTAGAGATTCCATCATGTAATCTGTTTTCAAATTACACTTGAAATTCCCCCAAATGTAGAACTAGCTTGCTAAATATATTCATTATTGGAATTAAACTAAAAAAAATTTTGCCACATGTTGGAGAAAGTAAAATCTGTTCCCAAAGACATTGTGGCAACTTGTAACTAACTGTCTCATTACTGAAATCTGCCACCTCTCAGTTGATTACCCTGAGTCCTTAACTAGTCTCCTCACTTCCAGAAGCCCTTTTGCTCAAGATCTATCCCAAAGCCCCCTTTTAGAACAAAAATCGAATTTACATTCTTCAGTCTCTTCATGCTTATGATGCAAAGTACATCTTCTTTATTGTGGCCAGGAATGTCCTCATCATCTGGTACCTACAATACCAGACTCCAACAGCTTACTGTCCTTTCTTTATACACAGACTGGGCTCCTTGCAATTCCCTGAATGGTCCACACATTCACACCCACTTCCTGTGTTTGTGTTTTGTGTTCTTCCTGAGTAGAACCATCCCTACCCCATGTAGGTGCTCTCACTATACATTGAACTTACTACATCATAGAACTATCAATATTGCAATTACCTGTGAAATATTAATACTCCTCCTACTACAAATAACTACTATTTAGGAATACATAAATAGGGGTCAAGCACTACATTATTTCATTGAATTTTTACGTTATAGACAATGAAACTGAGCATGTGCAATGGAGCCAGGTGAGGTCACAGTAGTAATCCACAGCTTCCCACTACAAATATCTATAACTTTATCTCTACACTAGTGGGTCTCAGTGGCGGCAATTTTGCCTCCCAGTAGACAATGTCAGGAGACATTTTGGATGCTACTGGTGCTACAGGCATCTAATGGGTAGAAGCCAGCAATGCTGCTAATAATTCTAGAATATACAGACAGTCCTCCATTGCAAAGATTTATTCTGGCCTGAAATACCAAGACTACAGTGATACAGAGGAATTGTCTGGCCTCAAATTCTAATAGTACCTGCTATTAAGAAACATGGCTCTAGACTTAATCAGCTCCTATGGACTGCCACAGAAGACTCAGCCAGAAGTTTTGAATGTTTGCCATGGTGTCTCTGCACTTAGTATAGTTCCTGGCCCCCAGCAGATGCTAAGGGAATTTGTGATTGATGGATGGATGAATGGGTGGGTGCATGGGTGGGTGGGTAGGTTGAATGGATGGATGGACAGACTCCAGAAGAGGGGAAAAATTTTTATTTTAAGGCTCCATTTTTGTGGCAACTTCTATAAAGATAAATATGAACACATATTCTTAATGAAAAGTAAAAAAAATAAATAAATTTAGAGCATATTCCAAAACATGTGTTAGCCTTTTATTTATGAACCTATAGAGTGTGATCGGATTTACAAGCCAAATGTACAGGACTATTTTTTTTCCAGAAAGTCTCAGGAAGACAGGTATTTTTCGAATTGCTCATAAATACTACAACTACCAGATATACTGACAGGTTTATACTCCATGTAGTAGGTCATAACTTAATTTTTTGAAAGACATAGTTTGGGTGTAAAGTTTTCCTGGTTCCTTTTTTTTTTTTTAAAGAAAAACAATACATGGGAATGCAACTTATGCTTTCCCTCTTTGTGTCTGTAATTCAGATGTAAGTACCTTATTTGGGGACTCCAAATATTGCAAGTGTAGCAAAAAATACAGTAAACAGACACATAACAGAAATAAACTATTCTCTGGCCTATGTAAATCAATAATCTAAACATTAGAAATAAAGCCAAGGAAAGACAAAGATAATGATCATGATATTTTCAAAGTAACAAATTTAGAAGGATTTTTACAATACTGCAAAACACTTCAATCAATTGTTTTTTTAAATGAAAAAGCAAAATGTTTCCATTCTGTGGCTTCCTCAATTTATCACTTTTTGTGAAGTACAGTAAGAGGTTAAAACAAAGGAGCCTGATTTTTTTTTAAAAAGTGTAATATTGTAAACTGTTCTTCATAGCCTCTTGCACTAAATTTCATCACCTGAGTCTCACATACAAATTCAAAGAATACGATGATCATATATCTTCTGATAACTGATCTTGAACATTCACAGCACACATTAGTATAAAAAATGGGTTCTGAAGCTTTTGCTTTAAGTAGTAAAACTTAGCATTTCTGAACATAGTTGACAAAAGAATAAAATAAGTGAATGGTAAAATAAGTAAAAAATAAAATAAGACAAGAATCTGCCAACACATTCAGTATTAAGAGAAGAGACTGAGCGATGACTGAGCGATAGTGGGATTTTCGTAGCTTGGGACATGAGCGTGGCTGGCATTTCTCACCATGATTTGGAAGCCTGGCCTGAGAAGTGCAGCAGAAGCCTGGGGCAAGTGGTGGTTTTGTCAGTGCATTGTGAACATTGACACACACTAGTCCCAGAGACAGATTCGCATGCATGGACATGCAAGGTGGTAAGACATTCATGCATGTGGGAAAGAAATGTGAAAAAGATGATCAAGCCCAGAAATATCACAGATGTTATCGTCAATCATTTTTTTTTTTTTTGAGTACCTGTTCTGGGAAGACATTGTTAAAAACCTAGGAAAAACCAGAGTACTCAGAGAAATAAAGAGAGGAAAGTACACATGAACCATCTTGAGGATCAATTAAAAACACAACATATGTCACAAGGTAAGAATACTCAGTGGTTCCTGAAGATCACAATCATACATTATGCCACAAAAACCTTGACTACAATCTTCTCAACTCTCCTCATTACAAGCCCTCCTAAGCCTCCAAAGTCCTACCAAATGGACCCCAAATAACAAAGACAGACCTGCTGTCAATCTGCCTTCCTCTGTCTACGCTGTGGCTTTTCCCAACTTATATCACTCACAACTTTTTGATAAATCTGTCAAATCTTGATCACAGAGAGAGCCATGATTCCCTGAGGCCCTTTTTCAGAACTAGAATCTTGGATGCGTAACTTAGTTTACATCAAACCTTTCCTGATTCTTATAGGTGCTGAGCAATTTTTGAAAGCAGGATTAGGAAAAGTAAAAATTAGAATAAAATATCAAGATCAGGAGGATAAAATCAGAGCTCCCATATGTAGGCCATGATCTTCCTCACAGTGACAAGTTGGATCACGAATTCATGTTTTGGTTTTTCTGTCCTTTGAACATGTCTACAAAAATATCATTGAATTTTTGATAAGCATAGCCCAGAAGACAGTTCTAGGTTGGGTTTTTTTTTTTTTTTTTTTTTTGGTCAAAGCTTTGCATGCAGGTATTCTGGGTGGTTAAGAGTAGACCCACAGACTGCAAACTTAATGGGTCTGAGGAAAAAGAGGTGATCAATATTCTCCAGCACATCTATGTTCCTTATGTGGGATGTGGGACTGTCCTGGTGGAGATGCTGCAGTCAGCTTCTCCGAGCATACTCAAGCTTCCTGCCTTCTCATTCCAGGCTCTCCTGACTTGCTGCTTGGAAAAAGACACTTTGAGTTCACAGAACTCAGTTTCTTACTCAATAAAAATGGTACTTCCACAAGAAAAGCTGCCAGTACAGAGAGTCTCCACAGCCCCTTGAAATTAGGACAGGAGGGACCAAAGAACATCAATATTGAATGTAGATCACTATTCTAGGTGTCGCCTGGCTAGATTCCTGAGAGGAGGATATGGAAGCACATTACTTGTGACTCAGTGATTTAGATATTCTCCCCCCTGCTCCATCCCCACTTTCTTAAGTGCCACAGTTGACAAACAGATTTGGGAACTTAAAGTGGAGAATGGACATCCTCCATTCAGAAGTGCACTGGCTAAACATATTATTTCCGACACCACTTGGGTACAAGAGAATCCTGGGTGAATCCCACTGGAATTCACACTAATACCCTTGGGCTACAGAAAACCACAAAGCAATCAGCTCCTCAGAAATAAAATGACTTTATTTCAGCTAAGGGTTCACATGAGAAACTCCAAGAGGCACATCCATTTCATCCCAGTGGAGAGCATTTCAGAATCCCTTTGTCTTAATCTCTGTATATTGTCTCATATGTCACTGGCTGCACACCAAACTTCAAGGTGACTAGCAGGATCAGGCGCACAGTGGGCACATAATATCTGCAGATGGAATAAGCAATCAAATCAAAGGATCAAAGTGACTGTAAATAAAGTAAGGAGTTAACTCGTCATGCATTGCTCAACCAGCTTTGACACCAGAACAAGCCCTTCTTAGCAAAACAGTCGCATGATTTGGCCTATGATGCAATCCAGGCAGTAAACATTCACTTTGGGCAAAACCAAAAGTTAGAAGATGGCACTCACTTACCAACACAGAGGAAAATGAGAAGCACCACCCCCTCTCCCCCTTCTATTCTTCCACTAGAAGTTTACCTGTGCTCTTGTGCCAAGCTCCTTTATCTATCAGGCACTGGAGTGTCAAGGATGAATAAACCCACTCACAGCCTCTCATCACAATTTAGAGGTGGGGGCAGGAATCAAAACAGACTTCCTGAAGGATAAGAACTACATAGACTAAAAGCACAAAGCAGCAGGACCACCAATCAGGGAAGTTTATGGCTATAGGGTCATTTTTAAGTACCTGCCTATTCTGTCCTCTCAGATTGATCTAATGAAAAGCCTGGTGGACACACTGCATGTCTCAGAAAGTTAGTTTAATGGACATGTTAGCCATTCATTCCACTAGGTTTTCTGCATTGAGGATCATCGCCAGAATCTCCATCACTGGATCACAGGAGCTTGGGCCCCAGAGATAACTCATATCAGGTTACTTTTCTTCACTGAGCCTTCTGAATTTTTTTTCTCCCTCTTGAGGACTGGTAAAAGACATGACTGTATAACTTTACTTCATTTTCTGTAGAATCCAAGTTGAAGCACTGTCCATGACATAACTTATCTTTCATATGAATATATTCTAGTTGCCAGGCACCATGGTGAGCGCTCTACATATTATCTGATCTATACCAACAACTTGCCTGTATGCCCTCCAGATCTCTCTCTCTCTCTCTCTCTCTCTCTCTCTCTCTCTCTCTCTTCCTATTAACTTGGCTGTTACAAAGCTCAGAGATAAAGTAAATAAAGCAAGAAACACTTAGGATGTTAGTTTATCTTTCCTTCCCATTTTTAACAGTCTCGTTATTTTGTGGAATTTTTAATATGAAAATTTACTCAGACACATTTCTGAAAGTCGATTCTCTATAAACAAAAACAAATTACCATAATCATCGATTGTAATTTCTTCTTATTCCCAATTGGCAAGAATTTCCATGAATAATTAATTTGAAGATGATCCCTTGGCTATCACATTCTGGTCACTTGAAAGCTCACATAATGCAGTACTTTGCACCATCATCTGATTGAGAATATGTGTATGAAAGTGCAACGGCGGGCGGGGGGAAGAGAAGAGGTTGGCTGATTTGAGTTACAACATAGAGTAATCATCAGGTTATTTCCAAATCTATTACCAAGGAATATATCTATCTTGTGTTGGAACTTGCCAGTCCCATTCCCCTTTCCCTCCCAAGCTACCATTTTTACAGCCTAAACTATATCACCACACGCCCTTGGTCCTCTTAGGACTGCCAAGGCCAAAGGCACTGCCAAGACCTGCTGAGTGAGAAGTCGCTGCAATCACCCAGTGATGTCTGGTCTCTGGAATTTCACTCTTAGTACTGACAATGCTCCTGGAACCCATAAAGATTCTGCTAAAATTCAGGGAGTTGAAGGTCAATGTCTTCAGGGAATCAAGGTAACATTTGAAAGGCAATCTCCACCACTGCTGAAGGTAGGCAAATGCCTGGAGCAACTTGCAGAAATAACTCTCTACCATGTTGCTGCTGTACAGAATGGCAGGCCAGCTGTTATCAGAGAGGGTGAGGAGGTGCAAAGATTGAACCATGTACACATGGTATGTGTGTGTGTTTGCGTGCACAAGCACCCACACGAGCCACAAATTTTGGCATGCCCAACTGGCACTCAGTTGCAATGCTGAGTCAGGCATTAGGGGAACATGATGTTTGGGCACAACCATTAATTTGTTCAACAAAGATTTACTCAGCACCTACTGTGTGCCAAGTGTTCTTCTAGATGCTGGGAAATCTAGAGTCAATGAAGTAGTCAAGACTCCCATTTTTATGGGCTCTATACTGTAGGCAGAGTAGACAGGTAATCAACAAATATCAAATGAAATGAACAATTCAGATTGCAAAGAAGATGAAAGGAGGAAAAAGATGCAAACAAAATGAACGTTTTAAAAAGGAATAAGGGACTGTCTTTGCTCCAAGGTGACACAGAACCTTATAACAGAATGAGAAAGAGCTAAAGAAATCAATCACCTATATTCTGATTTCCATCAAAAGACGAGCTTACTAAAAATTTTATTTTATAATCAAACATGCAATCTCATGTGCGGCCCCCTAACATCCCATGCTTCAAAAAACTGGAAACACCTCAGGAAAGGAAAGGAATCCTCAGCTTTCCCTGTTCTTAAGGGGATTTTAAGAATTCACCTCCCCCCCCCC